GAAGCTCATTACATTATTTAGTCTTCAATGAACACAACATGCATGTTTGTTTGAATGAGGGAGAAAGCAAACTGAGTCTGAGCCTCGATTTGAACCCAAAGCCTCTTTACTGTGTGGCAGATGTGCAACCCATGGCCCCGTTGTGCCTCCCCATTGTTCAAATAAGATGCAAAATAAGTGTGACGGGGATCGGGGTGTTTCCTCAGTTTGTGTTTCTAGCTTGGACTTGAAGTCGACGTGTGCTTCAGTGGTCTTTACTTTGGCATGTGTCCTGCCTCATTACATCAAAATGTACAATGTTTAGGTGAGCTTGGAGCTTGCATCAGAGAGAGAGAGAAAAAAGTAAGTCTCGGTGATGAAGCCAATGCTGTAAAACTGAAACGTAAAATTCGAGTTAATATGTCATTTGCAAACGAGAGAACTGTCATCCTGCGGCGCAGAGCTTGAAATGTAGGCTGCAGTGAAGCTGATCTCCAACCTTGTGGTCCTCAGGGCCCAGAGAAACATTCCACGTCTCTCTTTTGAGCGCACTGGATTCATTTTGGGAGTCAATCAATCAGTCGTCTCCGATGACGACCACAAAACGACCACGTTGTGGCTGCGGGTCATCAGTCCAATTAGTCGTGATGGAAGTGTGAAGCGGCCAAAACGCTGAAACCTTCTCAAATTCAACACTCTGCAACACCGTCCCCTATGGAGGGCTTCAAAGGCGAGCGTACGTCACGTTAGGAAGCAAGACTGACATGTGTGGTCGATGTGATTACCTTTGATTCCTGTCAGTATCACAAAATCAAAACTTGGAGTCCCTACAAGGAATGGGGTTTATTTTTCTCTCCGAGTGTCACTTTCACCGAAGCGACTAGCAAATAAATGTAGTTGGCCTCCTAGAGAAAGGTGGAAGAGTGACCGCAGCAGCAAAATAAAGAAATAAATACATAAATACAGATGACTGGAGCTACAGATGACTGGAGCTAGCGTGTAGGCCAGAGCTTTGGACTATCGTGGCCGCTTTAGAGTGCCTTGTTGTCAACTGTATATGTGCACATATTACAGACAGGAGTCAGAAAAGTGATGGTGGGGGCTTGGGGGTCCAATATTATAGCCAGCATCTATAATATTCATGCTGGTGTAGCGATTTTAGAGTGCCTTGGTCTCATGACATGGACTTGCCCCATCCCTGCCACCAGAGGCTTTAAGTGGATAAAGCTTGAAAACACTTTGTGCAGGCAGAACAAACATCATGGATGAAGTATCATCCATTTTACCAGCTTGTAGTAAGTTGTGATTTTTTTCATTGACAAGGCTGTGGTTTTAGCGCAGTCAGCGGACACACCCATAGAGTTTGAGAGCGGACATAACGGCTTGAGTTTTCACAAATTTTAAGCCTCATTCTACTAGATGATTTGTTTAAATCATAATATTTGACCCCGTCGTTAACAAAGCTCTTTTTTGCGGTGCGTTACATTTTGAAGACATTTTTACTTTACGGGGACTTTAAAACAATTCCCACGTGCTTTAATGACAAATCAGTTTTTTGTTTATTTGGTTTTGGGGGCTTTTTGGTTTGCAAAATACCTCAAGGATAAAAAAAAACCTTATCCCCTATTTCTTGGCCTTCAAAAAATAGTCCGTTTTTAGGGGCAACCCTGTACCATGCAAGTGAGCAGCAGAGTACAACTTTTGTTACAATGATGGCTGGCAGTGTCTGACCCTTTCAGGGGCTGAGCACAGTGTAGGAAAAAAGCAAGCACCCATAAAGACAATAGAATATTTTTTTACTTGTTAACGCAGCGCTTCATATACTACACTGTGTGTATGTGGCTCATGGAAATGCATAAACACCCCTCATCGCAGTGTGGACAACTTTACAGAGCATGATTGCAAATCAGAAGCTAATGCTGTTAGCAAACGCTAATAGAAACATTTAGCAAAATTCACTGCAGCTCTGCCTACCTTTTGGCTTCAACATGATAACAGGGGCATCACAGCCGTCGCGGATGTGGATGTTTGTACATGATAGTGACCCTGGAAGATTGTGGTTGAGAGAATGTAGTCTGGCTGCCACAGCTTGAAAGTGTTGCTCAGCCAGTCAAGCATAGCATGTCATGGGCGGAGGAACTTGGTCTGGGTGGGGTTGATTATTATGAGGTGCACAACGAGTCACCTACAAATAGGGCGGAGCAATAATTCAATATCAATATCGTGAAAGACACATGATCAATATCAATACAAAATTGACTCCATATTATGTAGATTAAAAAAATTTAATTAAAATCTGGAAGCAAACCCCGACGAACCCAAACATTCTGCATTCTATAGGCAGAGGCTCCATTATGATGTTAGATTTATGGTGCAATTACAAGCTCCTGTCAAGAAATTTGGAGCACAAAAGAATGTTTTACTACCAGATATTTTGAATGGTATTTTTCCTCTTGATAGCGGTGTTTCATTTAATTTTTATCTTTAATTTATTCTATTTTTTTTTGTTTTATCATCATCAGTTTAGTTGTTTTTCTTATTTTAAATTAGTTTTTAAAAAAATCTATATTTATCAATAGACTAATCTTTAATTTGTACATTGTGATCCACCTCGCCCTATTAAATATACGTTTAAAAAGACGTTTATTTCTTCTTTAAATCGACCATTCTCTCTCAAAAACACCTATAGATGCGTCCTAATATGCAGTGTAACTGGGAGAGTAGCCAGTGACCTTTCATGGCAATTACAAACATTAAAATCAGTTCAAGTGGGTGCCAGTTTACAGTGGCTCATTTCCAGAACAAACTCTTGTGTGTCCTGTACATGTGGGCCTCAGAGGCTTTGAATGTTGCAGATGGCATCTCAGGCCAGCGCCACTCGCTAAACGTGCTGTGAAATTGCCTGAGCTGTGTTTGAGAGCATGCGTGTAAGTAATACATCACCTCACCTTATCTTGACTGGACTAATGCTTCCATGGTCTGCCCTGCTCATTCACTTCAAACGGAGCATTCGGAGAGCTTCTTAAGCCCCCTGTAAAGACTTGACATAGATGCCGGCAAATAAATAGCTGCGTAAGCGTGGGAAAAGCCCCAGTTGAGAAGGTTTGTGACAAATTTAACAGACATTTACAGAATAACTTCCAAAGTTGAGGGTCCCTAAAGCGGTACAGTTTGTAAAAATGCGCCTCAAAAGTCAAACAGAAATGAAATGATCATAATTTGTGAATATCAGAAGCAGGGGTTCTGAAATTTGGGGTGTCCGAGGAACTCCTCGTAATCCTAATAATTATCATGTGCAGCCCTAAATGTGATGGGAATTATTTATTTTCTGAAGCTTTCAATTTAAATCGTAATGCAATAGAAAATACTTCTTCAGAAAGGTATATGTGCAAACTTATGTGTTTTTGGGTACTTTTTTTTAATCAGTGTTAAACCTGTGAGCTTCCAAGTCTTTCCAGACTAAGTTCTAAAAGTAATCTGCAAAGATGCAAGAACTTCGAAGGTTAATTACTTTTAGTTGTTTATTTAAAAAAAAAAGGTGTCACACAAGGCCAAAGAGAAAAAGACCAAATGCAAAAGAACAACAACAAAAAAGAAAAAGCATACCCCTCCCCCCTTTTGACATTGCACACCCAATTCTCTCCTCATCACAGTTAAATCAAAGAGGCAAGAGAACAGGACTCACGTTGTTCTGATGGTATTTACTTAACCTAGCACGATAAAAACTGGACAAGGTGACATGTACAGTTCATAAGACAGACAGCTCACGTGGATCCAAACACAGACTCTCACCAGCAGTTTTACATGTCGTCGACGGTACAAATGGAACGGGACGGTTGACAGCTATCCAATACATTGGACTCATCACTTTTAAGTCAGACTATACATGTGGCAATGGGCACTTTCATGGGAAATGGGATCAAATGAGAGAGAAAAAAATAAATAAATCAAGGTCCCATCTTAGGTTTTTTTGTTTTCTTTATGCGTTACATCAAACCTGCATGTTGAGGTAAGCATGTCACTGGGGAAAAGAGAGGAAGCCATCTCACATATATAAGACTCCCTTGACCGTATCCCCACTCACTTTGTAATTCGCCTTGACAGTAAATCAATTGTGAAGCCTGGCCCCTTCGACTCCTTACTTAGTCCAAGCCAAGGCCCTCCTCTCTCGCAAACATTCCTGCGCACATGAATCACTCCAACTCCTGGCTTCTAAAAGGCATTTCCTGCCCGGCCCTCTCGCTCGCTCTTACTCCTCTGCTGAAAGCTGGGCAGGAGCTTTTTGATTTGGACCCGCAGGGAGGAGAGCTCAGCTAACACTGGGACTAGACAGAGACAGAATGCTAGAGAGAGTGTTGGGTGATGCATGTACACCCGAGTTGGGGGTGGTGGGGGTTTTAGTGCTTTATCCTAAAAACTGCAATCCGAGCAGTGGACCGTATTCCATCGACATCAGTCAACATGGGGGATTCGTTTCGTGTCAGCATGTAAAAAAGTACATTCTGGCTAAGACAGATGTTCAACTTTTAAGATGGAATATCAATGTAGATTTTCCAGAATAACAGAGTAGATACAGCCCCCCCCACCCCCACCCCCCTCATCCCTTAAACACACTGCAAAGATTCATGATAATATTCAGTGCTAGGGGAGCATTTAGTGGTGACAATGTGCATGGTGGGAGCGCGAGTTGGCTCATCCGCACCGTGCACCTGCTTAACCAGTCCCTTAGAGATGCTGTAGACTATGATGCTAAATCCACAGTACATGTACATTGGGCATGTACATCATCTTCTGTTAGCCAAGCAGACTCCAAACGACCATAAGCAGCTCGTATGTCTTTGTATTATGTACACAACAATGTAGCCTACATATTTACTACATGAGGAACACGGATAGAGTCTCAAAGGGAGTGATGTACGAGGCAGAAAATGAGTAGAAAAGGGCTCTTTTGCTGCTGCGACCAGGAAGGGCCTACAGTGCCGCCGTGTGTGTATATGTGTGTGTGTGTGTGTGCGTGTGCGTGTGTGCGTGTGTGTGTACACTACAGGGATGTGCTGTTTGTTTCTCTGCGAATGTTGGAGTGTACGACGTGCTCCCCGTAATCCTCAGATCATGGCTCGTATCACCAGCCTCCCTTTGACCTGGTGAAGATAGGTGCTCCTCGCCACCTCCAAGCCCTCATCCTCGCTATCCGGGGGTTCCTCCTTCACCTTGATGACCCCATAGTGTGTGTCGGGGAGCTCCACGCTGGAGCCGCCGCTGCTGCTGCTGCTGCTGCAGCTGCCCAGCGTGTGCTTCCGGATGACTCCTCCGGGGGGCAGCCTGTCCTCCTGCATGCGCTCCGGCAGCTCTTGGTGCGGAAGCTCCTCCTGCTCCTCCTCGGACTCCTGCAGGTGCGTGCTAGGCTGACGTAACTGCTCAATGGACTTGGACAGCAGCTGCAGAACACAGTGACATTAAGAACAACTTGATTTTCCATGCAGCAGCCATTTTAGGCATACAATTAAGAGAAGTTCAATAAATAAATAAAAATCCATCACAAATCTTCAAGTAATGAAATCAAGTCATGAAAATATACACTATATTGATTCACAACCATGTCTCCATAGATGGGCTTATGGGATGTAGTCGCTTGGTATGGGGTCACTCGCTAATTGCACATAACCCACTCGTACTTGCACTCAAATTTACAGGGGTGTTTGGCAATACATAGCCACCAACCACCACACTCGCCTGCCTGGCTAACCTCGTCCTGTCCCATTTGCTACTTGTTATGTCCCTTTTTATATGGATAAAAAAAAAAAATTCTGTCAAGGTAAATTTTGTGTATGTGTGTGTGTGTGTGTGGGGGGGGGGTACATCCCAAACAGCGCAGGTTTAAGAAATAAAATGAGAATAAATGTACTTTTTGAAGAGGACAAGAATGTGCAAATTGTATTCTGCATATATGATTGCGGTAACTCCCATACAGTGGAAACTCCAGTCAAATGACCAAAATTTTGTAAAATTTGAATTTCAATGCCAATTTTCTGGAAAAATATGTCTCAGATGTCAAACAAACATTACACTGAATTCAACCGATCAATCGGTGTCAGAGAAGCTGGCGAGACTTGAGCTCAGTAAACATCGAAAACTTCTCAAGTGGGTTTTGCTTTTCTTTGGCTTCTTTACAGTTTTGTGGTGACGAGAGGAAAATTGCTACAATAACCATAGAGCCAAAAATCGAACTGACTATAACATGAGAAAGTGTCTGGCTGCTCAGTATAATTTGAGAACGACAATTTGTGATCAATTATATACAATTTTTGTCTTATTTTACAGTGGTTAACTTCTCTTTAATCTTGTATGACAGTTAAGAATGTTGAGATGTTTCTAGAGTTAATAAAGGCTTTAGAGTGAGTTCATTTTACTTATATGTATTTTGTGTGGACGTTTGGAAATTAATTAGTTTAATAGTTCCACCGGAAGGGGGCTCTACAGCCAACAACGAGAAGTGCCTGCTAACCAAATTATCTGCAGTTGGGAGGCCTTTTATAAATACCTCGATTTACCAGAATTAGCCTGTTTAGCTCAGCCTTTGTAAACACGTGCAGACTTTTCCCAAAAGCCTAATCTCTTGTAAATTTCCATTGCTGTCCGCTACTGTAGCAGGCACCGGAGGATGTGAAAAAACAACCACCCCTGACAAGCCTACTGGGAAATTAATTAGGGCAATGTTTCACTGATCCTTCGCTGTAAACACTCAGGGCTCATCCCTGATTAGTGGCCATTTATAACCTCCGCTTTAAGTGGCTTTACCCCGCGATCTCATTGGGTCGGATGATCACAGCCCAGCTCGCTCACGGGACGTTCTTTTGAAGTAAAATCACCTTCATATACACCAGTGATTCCAATTTTGAATGTTCACTTAATTTGTCCCAAATTATTTATATGTTACACACACCTTTTTGTTCATCTATCTATTCCAGTGACGTATAGTGACTGGCAGAACAATTAAAAGCCCTTTCACTCGACAGCAGGAAGTGTAATAAAACCTGTGTATCCACAATGCGATTTATACAACCAAATAAGTCATCGCTACCCGTGAGTATATCCGTTTTGCCTTCAATTCAACAGACACAGATCTCACACGAAGCAAATGTGCAAGTTTGAGATAAGATCATTTTGGTATTCATACTTTTTGTGACATTTTTATTTAGTGGTTTTCTTCAATGTAAAACAGGTGCTTTGGCTCAATAAAGGATGGGAAATATATCTGCGTTTTTGCCTCATAAAGTGGATGAAGGTTATTTACTCAACTGCAGTGAGGGCTGGGTGCCTCATAAAGGTTAAGTGTTATTTGGAGGAGGCTTTTTCTTGTGCCTGTCTTGTTAGTACAGGATTATCAAATGGGTTAAATGTATAGTTGGCGTACTATAAATGCTTTAGAATGGTCTAGAAATTCAGAATACTGTGCTGCAAGATTTTTTTTTTCATTAGATCAGGGAACAGCAACAATTTTGTTCAAAGGGCAACATGGTTCAGGTGCTAAAGTGATCGTCTCCCAGGGTGTGGAGTTTGGTCCTGATCCTCAGTGACCATGCCAAGTATCCTTGAGCAAGATAGCGAAACCCCCAGTTGCTCCTGAAGCTGCCTTGTGAATAGGTGAATGAGGAGAGAGTGTTAATGTGCTTTGAGTGCCTTGAAAGCGGTAAAGCGATAGCCAAGGCAAAAGATCACTTAGCATATTTCTGACAGAGCCTCTTCTGTAACTTTCTTGGGGCAATTCCAGCTGAAAAAAATGGTGTTTAATTCAAAATTTGCCCAGGCTACTGAATAATTATGGTCTTAAATTTACAGCTGCCGCTGTTGTGAAAGCGCTATATAAATCAGCATGTATTGTATTGTATTGTATTTAATGTCTATATTTTGAGATCTCATTCCATGGGTAAATAATAATGTTTCAGTGAAACATTACAGCATTTGTCAGGTCAAACTGAGTTTAAAACAAAATCAAAAATAGTATTGGTTGCATTTCAACAATGTGGAGCAAATTGGACTGCTCCTACTCAAAAGCAAGCACAGTCTCCACATAACATATGATCATCTTCAATTCACTTTAATTTATTCAAGAGACCAAGGAGATCCAAGCCTCTGTACCAGTGTCTTGGATAGCAACCGAGTTCAAATGGTCTCTCTCTAAGGTGAAGGGGGGAAAAGTAAGAGTCTATTTAAGGGGAGTGGTCTACCCTGTGATGATTGAGGCCTAGCATCTACTTGACTGGAGGCCACTTTTTTAAGAAATAAGGATCATTACACATTCTACTAGAAGAAATCTGTAATATATGCCTTACTCATAAAGTTTCAAAGAGAGATGGCGATAAGATGCACGTGTTAGCTGTACACCAGTTACCACTTGAGCTAGTTTTTGCTATTTATTTCCTCCTCAGTGGTTTCCCATTCCTCCTTCAGGGCCCAGTGTTAGGACACATCAGTGCAACTCACACAATGCTGCCTTTCACAGTGTCGGTCACCTCACACGCGTCCCTCACCAGAATAATTACTCTCTTGTGTCTTGGCGAGGTGACCTTGGCCAGATTTCAGAAAGACAAATATTGCCACAGAGGAACAAAATGTATGCTGTTTTTTTTTCCCTCCTCCATTTGAACTTAGCTGAATTGAATTTCACAGTGTTAGCATGTGAACAACACTGGTGCCTTGAGCTATGATAACAGAATTAGTGCAGGGGAAGCATTTCTTCCCCCGTTTTGAAGTTCATTGCGTGGCAGATTTAACAGCAGAGGAATAGCAGTGAAGAACAGACTATAGGTCAGGACTGGAAACTTCATCAACCACAGAATCTTTCAAAACAAACAAACAAACAAACAAAAAAAAACACATGTGGATTTGTGTCCTTTAAATAAGTTTGACTTCACCCGTCCAAGAAAAGGACTGACAGAAAATGTTTTGCAGAATCAAATATATTCAATTCATTCATTCATTTTCCGATCCGCTTATCCTCACAAGGGTCGTGAGGTCTTCGGGCAGGAGACGGGGGACACCCTGAACCAGTTGCCAGCCAAACGCAGGGCACACATAGACGAACAACCATCCACGCTCACACTCACAACGAGGGACAATTTATTTTAGAGTGTTCAATCAGCCTGCCATGCATATTTTTGGAAAGTGGGAGGAAACCGGAGTACCCGGAGAAAACCCACAAAGGCCCGGGGAGAACATGCAAACTCCACATAGGGAGGCCGGAGCTGGAATTGAACCCGGTACCTCTGCGCTGTGAGGTCGGCGCGCTAACCACTGGACCACCGGGCCGTCTATCAAATATATTGACAAACCTTATTTATATGGACCTGCTGTTGGTATTGTTTCTGTTTCTCCAGGAAGTGCTGGTGTTGCTGCTGGATGACAAGTTGCGCCAGCGTGTTCTGGGGCAGTGGCGCTGACTGGGTTCTGTTCAAGGGCCGATGTTTGGGTAATTTTGGGCGACTGCTGGACGCGCGATCCTTCATGGCCAGAGGGGATGGAGGGTGGGATGGCAAGGAGCCTGCACCTTGGCAAAGTGAACAAACAAACAAAACATCTTAGGTTTTGGCTTAAATTTCCAATGTATTTGTTTAGTACATCAACCCACTGCGATTCAACGTTTTTCATCAGGTACGATGTTCTTACCGGTGGAAAGCATCTTCTGCTGCCTCATTTGCTCCTTCTGGAGGAGGTGTTGGAGCAGAGCCTGGTGACTGGGGCTCACTTTGGACTCCAGACCATTCTGAAGAGGAACAGGACCCAGGAGATGCCCTGGCAGTCCATGCTTGCTCTCTATTGATCTGTCCTTCAGGCCTACTGCCGCCTGAAAAGAGAGCATACTGGTGGTGACTCACTTCATGTATCACATGCAAGACTCAGAATAGTGTAGTTGTTTAGAATAATTTGCTGCTGTAGCATGGCCACTAAATGACACAGCATTAAAAAAGAAACAGCTGATGTTTAAAAGTCACTGCTGTTGTTGAGCAGGCCTACTTGGAATGTGCCAGAGCTGAACAATGATAAATCACGTGGCGGGTTATCAAGCGTTGTACTTGAGTAGACTTGGGTTTTTAAAAATGTGGTGATAACTGAGGTTTGAGATAAGAGCACGCTTCACACCAGACATTACGTGACAATATTTATCTAACGGGTGATAAAATCTTTGGGGGCCACAGGGGTCAATGGCCTGTCTGTGGTCACATGAAAGCTGCAGACAACCACTGATGGCAGATTTTCAAGACGCAAAAAAGCATTCAATTTGACGACCTCAAGATACTTACGCTAATAGGTGAAGACGCAGTCGGAAGGCCAAAGGAGATATTGGGGAGGGATGGAGATGTGTATAAACTCAACACGGACACGGAGCTCTCTGGTCGGAATAACCTTGGCTGTGAAGGCCATCGCTATATGATACAGGACACAATCAAAGAGAGATCCTAGTTCACTTGCGAGAAACACACAGATTGCAGCAGTTCACTGAAAGTTGTAAAAGTAGTGTTCCAGCCCCACTTCCTTCATCCACAGCGGATCAAATGAAAGTTGGTCCCCGGCAAAGTGCCCTCTAAGCTACGCGCGTGAGCAATTGTGCACTTCTCTCACCCTCTCAGCGGACATGATGACACAGAGGGTGCGCACTCGGTTGTTCTATGATGATTTGATGCATATATTGACACACATTCACTCACACTCACCACAGACGAGAGGCTCTGAGCGACACACAGATGGCTCCATTCAGGAAGTCCAAATATGAACTTACTTTACAAGCCCCTTGAATGAGGCTCTTTCGCAAGTTAAAAGTTAGGTGACAAGTATTTTTTTGTTGTTGTTGTTTTTATTAAATGAAATGTTTTCCATTATTTATGAGTTGACAATGTGGGATCATAGTTATACAGACTGGCTTCATCAACGATGCTTAAAATAACCTGTGTTATGTTTTTGTTTAGGTTACATTTGGTTTTGTTCCCTCTTGTGCCCTTTTTGTCTCCACCTGTTCTCGTCATCCGTGTACCTTGTGTTTAACCAATCAGCTCCCGCAACCTTTTGTGTCTTGTCCAGGTGTTTCTCGTTGTCTCGCCACTTAGCTTGTATTTAGTTGTCTGGGTTCTGTCAGTCTTTGTTGGATCATTGTGAGTGTCTGTGTGCCACTGTCATGTTTTGTTTTCTGTCATAGGGTTTTGTTTTTTTTTTGTTTGTTTTTTTTGGTACTTTACTTTCTTGTGATTTTCGGGACTTTTTTTTTTGAGTACTTCAGTTTTTTTCCAGTAAACTCCTGTTTGTATTTTTGTCAAATACATCTTGGTCAGTCCACTCCTCCCTGCCTCCCTGCTTTTTGGAGTCCTCCAACTACCATCATGCAAAATGTGACACTGTGTGCAAATATAAAAGTAAACACACTTGGGCCAATTTTATGTGTGTCATAAATCTCCATTCGATTATATTTTCTAGTTTGATATGAAAGTAATTCGATTTTTTTCATAGCATACGACATTAAGTGCCTTGTTATGACTGCGTTTTTGGACAGGTGTGATAGATACTAGCTTGGCTGTCGTGTGCATGTCTGATGCTGCTCACAAGGAATGCTCAGGGAGTTTGTGTGAATGCTCAGAAGGATGGAAAATTAGAGGGAACATTGGTCCCCGCTCTCGAGAAGGACACCACCACTGGGGCACACTTCCTGCGCCCAGCAGAAAAGGGGACCAGCATGTGGTCTCGGAACAGCCTTGTTTATCCTTGCGACCCCTGCCAGTACTCAGTGACCTGTATGTGGATATCCGGACCGTATTCGACCCGAGGGACCCGTTCCCTCTGAAAAAGGATACCTAATGTAACGGTGCATCAACATGCATTGCTTTTGCAACAGGCATGAGGTCTACAGGCAGCCCCGCTCTTGGCCAATGACTTTCATGAGAGCTGCAGTTTGCACTGAAACAATAGCAAGCTTGTGTGTTTATGTTGCTCGCATGTGGGTGTCTTTTTGGCTACCAGCGCCTGGGATTTCAATTAAACGCCACAGTTCGTTTGTCTCCCTAAGCCCCGATGTCAGGGCGTCTCTGCATTCTCTGTCACTGGAGGTCCTCGCGAGAGTCAACAGCTATGGTTCAGGAAAACACAGCTGCTCTGTTGAGATTGCAAGTCGATGTGTCATATCTGCCACCCGCTATAATGGTCCTCTTTGTGAGCTCAGTCCAAGGGGATCCATGGGCCAGAGCTCATCCTTGAATCTATCACAAAAATGCCTCTGAGGAGGCGCAAAGGCAAGCCAATGACAGAAATACAATGACAAGCCAACGGTGAAACTCTGAGCCAAACTCCAGTTGTAATTGTGCAGAACATCTGGAGGAATAATGTGAGCGATAAAAAAACAAGCAGGATTCAAACCGTTGCTGTTGTTTGCTCTTAAACACTCACATTTCCTGCAAAATATGTTGTCTTAACACAAGTAAACCTTGCGCAGTCGGACACACGGGTCAAACTGTGCCTCTTTAATGTCGGTGCAGGTAGTCATTTTCACTGGAGTGGAACAGACACAGGGCAAATGGCTGTTTTTATAGCTGTGAGCAGAAGTGCAGCCAAGCATTCTGTACTTTCACTTCCCTTCACTAAAACTTTTTTTTTTTTTTTTTAAACAGGCATTTGCTGAAGTTTCCTTCATTTGGCAAATAAAAGGCAATGCTGACATTAGGGCCAATGTACCTCCGTTTTTGTGGTGGTAGGCAAAGAGGAGGGTCCATTTTCTGCTCCCAAGGCACTGGACGCCCCGATGGGAGAGCTGGGGCCCGAGCCAGGGGCACTTTTTGTGGGTGTAGAGTCTACAGAACATATAAGAGTTAGATTCGCAAGTATTCATGCACATGTACACTATCACACAAACACTTGGAATATGTCCAAGTAATGGCCTCCTCTGACCACAAATACAACTGACTAATTTTGTTACATACATCTGATATAAGGGTTAAACAAAAAATAATCTTACGTTACACAGAAAAATAGAAATGTAAGGCCTGCCACTTACAATGTATCACAGAGCATCCACCAATTGTTTGTCATTGAATATGTTCTATTACAGTTCCATTAATAAGACGCACATCCCTCAGTGTGATGCAATGTCTTTCTACTCAGCAAACTACAACTCCAATAATAAACATTGTTAAATACCTCCCAAAAAAATTGTATATTATCTGTTATTTTTATTTATTTTTGGGGGCTGGTCAAGTGTGCCTGAATTTGTGGCCAGTTTGTGTATGTTGTAAAAAAAAAAAAGACGAACCACCATTAGCTTGGTCATACCCATTAGCTCCAGTGCCCTCTTCTTGTAAGGTGTCATGAGGTTGCCATCTTTTCTCTTGAGCATGGGGCTGCTCCGCCTCTCAGCTACTTTCTGTTTCAGTCTGGAACGCACCTTCAGATTGGGCTCGGAAGCTAAAAAAAAAAAAAAAAAAAAAAAGATGCATAAATAGGGAGCGGACCTTTATCTTACAGTAGTCTCAGTTCATTCCCTCAAGGTGAAAAATAACGCAAGCCAAGTGAGTAAGTCAAGCAGTGTTTTTTATCCAGCCAATGGAATGGAACGTGTTAAAGCAAACAAGAGCATCATAAAATAGAGACTATCAATCAACTTATTATATGATCACACTTGAACAATTGTCGGTTTCCAGAAAAATTCCAAACATTTTTGGACCCATTAAATGACTCAGGATCCGAGCTATTTCCAAGTCATCTGGACTAAATTAGTTGGCGAAACACTGAGCTCCAAGTGAAATTCTGCCGCTACCTGCCGCCCTGGTGACCACAGTCTGATACAGTAGCAACAGTTAAACTAACACAAAAACATGGCAGATGTTCAGGCTCTCCCCAACACCTCCCACCTCCTAATGCAAAACAGAAATACCCATATACTCCTCAGTGTTAAACGGCCAAGCTTAACCTGATCCAGACCCAATCAATCAGCTGTGATAGAACAGCCAATATTTCTCCTGTGAGACGCGGTAATTTTTGACTTTTCACCCGCTATTATCAACGCTTTTCAGAGCATACAGTATATCAAAATTAGTAATACTCGAGATAGATAGATAGAATCTTTGTTGTCAGTACCAATGCTTTCAAACTGACAATTGCAAAGCAATGAAGAAGTCGACTTTTATAGCCAACATTGGACTCGTTAACCCACACAGCCAAAGGTAGAAACAAAACTCTCCCAAGATAAAATGGGCATCTTGCTGCACTGAAGTTATGTAAACCTGTTATACAACACTCAGCCTTTTTTTTTAATTATTCAGTTTGTGAATCAATATTTAAAGAGTTATTTTGGTGTTTACATTGTGCAGACTATACAGCTGAACATGGGGAAGCGGGGGCCATGACGGAGGAGTGCCGCAGGCGGAGGATGGATATGGGGATAGTACTGGAGGGTAGATGGGGGCACAGTGGGCCAGATGCTGCTATTTCTGGCATTTGTCAAAGCAGCCAAAGCCTCAACCCTAATACGTTGCGAGGACCTCAAATCCTGTGGGTGTGAGGATGAATGAAAGAAGGGAGAAAGGAGGCAGGAAAGAGGAATTGGAGGGAGAGAAAAGGCTGCCGGGAGTTCTGTGAATCTGCTTCACGCCCCACTGACTTGATTGCTTTCTATTTTTACACACTGCTGCCACCAACCAACATATGCCAATTGGTCGCCACGGGAACGCCAGACAGCAGCATGAGAAAGTACACTTTCTCACTGGTCCCCATGGAAAAACACAAAAACACCTTGATGCTCTGAGATACGGGAGGCAATTATGACAGCCTGGAAGTGCAGTCGAACCTTCAAGATGGCTCAGATGCCCGAATAACTTGGAATTTTGTCTACGATTCTGAGAACGACACAGGCATCCAATTCAGTGACTATCTCGACGAATAAGTCCACAACAGGTGTTGTGGCTTTCTTTGGTGGGTTTTTTTTGTGATACGTACTTATTCCGAATGCCACTTCACAAGATTAATAACTGGCATGCCAGTGAAAAAAAAAAAATAGATGGTTTTGTACATGTGTCTCTTTTCTGGTTGCTCAGTAAAATAAAGCCACAGCTAAAATAAGTAAGGTGACATCAATAATAAGTACGGTATGTACACCGGAATTTGAACTATATTTAGTCCTGTCTTAAATATAGACTCGACACCCAAGCAATAATCCCCCTCTCTCCAGAGCCCCTCACGTTTTCAAAATTAATAATGAGTAAACAGTGTAGCTTTAGCAGTGGGTAATTCATCTCGCAAAGATGCCCATGAAACATTAACTGCACAGTTCGAGTTTTTTTTTTTGTTTTGTTTTGTTTTTTCTTTACAATGGAGGCTGTTCCTCCTCTGGAACAGATTACTGCTATTTCCTGTCTTGCTGGAAAAATGTAAGCTAACTGGAGGTTGAAGTAGAATGCGTTTGACTTAAAGGTACTGTAACAAATATCCTTATTGACCATAAAGGATATTTCACATCAGCTCAAGTGAGAAGTTGATGCATGTACGGGACATGCACAGAGTTGGCAATTGGGCCAAGAGCACAGTTCTTCTTGCTGCGCTGCATTTATTCCTGCAGCAGACTTACTGCGTGACTTGTCCAGGGAAGTAAAACAAGATAAACTTAGACAGACAAACGGGTTCATTAGTCTTCGGGTGAAAATTGGAGAAGAGAATCATTCATCTCCTGCTTGCTGCCATTTACAGCGTATGAAAGTGGTATTAAGTTTTGCTTCCGCTGTTCAACATTAACATCCTTATTTATGGCAACAGACAAGGAAGAAACTACACAATTCTGGTCAAGATCTGTGATTTTTTTTTTTTGAGGGATTGTAGTTGTTGCACATTTGTATATATAGCGATGTAGGGAAATTGCACTAAACTTTTCAGTAAATAATACATGAATCTTATTAGTTGTGACAATCTGTGCTTTTTTTTCTTTTAATCTAGTCATAGCACATCACTAAGGCCGTTTAAAAAACAGTCACATGTTATTATTTGGCAAGCGACTGACTTATTTCCTGTTAAACTTGGAATGGGTTGACATTTACTGGGTTTGGAAAAGACCCAAGGACTTATGAAAAGAAGTATGTGTGACAAAATATATATTTCAGACAAATGTGATTATGTAGCTCTACCAGAACAAACAATGAACTTTGCCCTTTGGCCGAAGCAAGCAGTCGGGTGTCTCACACGGAGTACTTGAGTCACCTCCAGCTTGTTTTGAGAGAGCTATCTTTTCTTCAACAAACAATCAAGGTCCGTCCTGCTTTTGCCAGGCGGACTGCAGCAACACCTGCCAATCAGCCATCAGTGGCAGTCGGTGGCTGGGAACAACACCACCTTTGTGTGTCAACCTCACGTGCCACGCTTTTAAAAGGCTCTAATGAAGACAGACAGGAAGTGGGGGAGGAAAAACTGAGCAGGAAATGACCACATATAGATTCAGGAATCCATGAAGCAACAAGTACCGTCGTTTTATCAGCGTGAGAGGCACGCACAGTGCTCATTTTCGAGAAGACGACTTGGCAAACTCAAAATTTTGGGATGGTTTTCTTTTTTTTTTTTTTCCCCCAAAAACAGAAAGTCTTAAACACATTCCGTGGCTCCAAATAGATAGGCGTTTCTGCATTTTGAGTTTTACAAGTTCTTCACGCTTTTATGTATCTATAGTTTTTCATTACGACCTTTGTTGCATTTTAAATTTATCTTAAAAGATAGAATTCCTCTGAGTAATGTCCAATTTGGGTATATGCAGACCATGACAGGCTTGTAGTTAACTGTACTCAACAAGTAGGATTGTCTTGGAGTGTAATTAAAGCGACACTGAGGGGGAAAGAACATAATGTAATTTGGTGACCTCATAGCAGAGTTTTTCTTTTGTTGGTGTTTTTTTTGGGGCTTGCTAAATCTTCTGCTTGTGAAAACTAAGGAACGGGAATTCCTTTTATTTATACAGCTTTCCCCCAAAGGAGTCCTCAAGCTTTAAACCACTAAACCCAAGTTTTTTACCTTTCGGTGGGAACCTGTGTCCATTCAAAATTGCGTCCAAAGCCCAGAGAAAGATTTGACTGCAACTATTACTGCATTTATTACCACTTTTAACAGTTACTCATACAGCATATTATTAGTCATGGTACTAATTTGACAACAACAACAACACCAACAACATTTCTGTGAAATTATTTCAAAGTGAACAATGAAATGGAAACAACTAAAGAAGGAATCCAAGTGTCCTCATAGAGGTTTTGTGGTGAGCCCTGGAGGGATGAGAGAGGGAGGGGTCATAATGAGACTAACTGATGTTATTAGTAGGTCATCAGCAACCAGGAAACACTTGATGGCTCGGCTGAACTCTTGATTGACAGGGGTCAAAAGAATCTTCATAATAATAACCCCCACTGTCGGAAATAGTGGTACTATCCTTTTTGTTCCTCAAAATTGTACTCATGTAGACTTACGAGACTACATCATGACTTTCTCTCTCTTTTGCACCACGGACTGATTAATATAGTTTACGAGCTGGAAAGCCAGTACCTTATTAGGTATCATCCTTGTGACGAGCCAATCTACCACTAAAGGTCCAATGATATACTTTTGACTACAAGTGCAGTGTAGTGAATAGGAATTGACAAAAGCCACTGAATAGTTAGTTGCAACAAAGTTTGCATTAGCCTTCCTGTAGAGTTCTATGAGTGCATTTCAACGTGTTGTCTCTGTGTCACACAAATGCAAAAGAGCGGACCTGTTTTCCTCAAGGGGAAGTCGTCCTTGCCATCAACGGGTGATGGCAGAGTGTAATGGCATGTCGGGGACATGCCGCCCAGAGGTGGAGAGCTTTGGTCCAGAGAGGTATGATGGGAGGACCTGACCACACAAAACAAAAAAGAACACAAGTGAGTGCAATGTGTCGTAGGGATGTAAATGCACAACCCAAAAGGGTTTCTCATTTATTTAAGACAGCCGGGACTAAAAGTAGTCACCTGTACCAGAGCTTGGGGTGGTGGATGAATGAATGAGTGCCGCCATTACTGGCAGGGTCCTTTGCTGATTTGCTCAACAGAAACTCTTGGAGTTTCTGTTTCACCTCTGTACTGGCCACTGCACCTGTGAGACCAAAAGGTGCAATAACAAGGATTGGGGTTACCCTAAGGATACATGACTTGTGAGGTAAACAGAGCAGCATATGAACATTTTAACAAAATGTCCTGAATGATTTCTTTCTCTGGGACTGTCTCGAGCCATGTAGAAAGATCTCCCCCTAGTGGCCAACATAACATTAGATTGCAAAAAAAAAAAGAACCCTCCTCTTGGAGGCCGACAGTTCCAGGGCATCGTTTCAAATTACCTGACCTGACAAAGTCATAAGTCATCTCCTCTATTATTAGACAGAATGTAAAAACAGAAAAGAAACCTTAGCTCCTACTCTATTCTCATTGTTCTATTAAAAGACATGTTCAACAGAATTCCAAGATTAAATGGCACCGAGAAACCTCAGCTATTTGTATCGCTTTAATTATAGTCTTCATTATAATCATCACCTTACAATTACAGGGATCTTCTCAAATCTGAAACACTGTCAGAAAAAAACACATATACTACGACTACAATATGTTAAACACTTTAAAATTAAATGATGTTTTGTAGTCACACTTTTTTCTGCCTATGTGGGTGAGGGTAATTTTTATTTCATTTCTTGTAATGTACTTTACAATGAGTACAAGAATTTTATTTAGCATATTATCATGATATTATGCCATATGCTTTGTTGTACTTTACTGATTTAAACCTGTTTAAAAGTTGACATAAATTATAAAAGAATAATTTACCAATAATAATATTATTGTTATTATTAAATAAAAGCGATATTATTATTATTATTATTAAATAAAAGCATTATTATTATTAATTATTATTATGATTATTATTGTTATTAATCTTATTACAGTAACAACTGTGTTTATTTATGGTAAGTATTCGATTCATCTGAATTTTCCCCCTCGTCAAGCTCTTACTCTCTCTGGAGCGCTCTTTTGCCCTTAGACTCAAGCTGGAAATGTGCAGCTCTCGCCGGTGCCTCTCCTGCTCTTTCTCCTGCTGGTTGTGTTGGTGCTGCTGGTTCTGCTGCTGTAGCTGCTCCAGACGGAGTTCCTTCGCTGCAAGTTCCTGCTGCTGTTTCATCACGTGGAGCTCCTGTTGGAGCTGAGAACGCAGCAGACCCAGCGGTAAGCATGAGGAAAGCAACTCTAATGAATAGTGCTTGATGTTTTGGGAAATAGCAGCTGTTTTGGTGGGCTCACTGTGCTTTTCTATTTTGCAGTGATGGATGAGTTGATGCTTGCATGTGAAAACATTTCTCACACTGTGTTGTAATACGGTGATGCTGGATACCCTAAATAGCTGAGCTGCTGTTTCTTTTTCTCCCTCAGTTCTAGTATTTTCAAGCTTTCTGGATGATGCCACACTGCGTTCTGCTTGCTGTGCTGTGTGCAAGTTCCGTGCCCACCTTGAGGTGCTCCTGGAGCTGAGCCTGATGCTGACGGGTCAACTTCTCATGCTGCTTCTGGAACTCACTGATGAGCAGCTGCTTTTGGATCTGCTGCTGCTTTTGGATGAGCAGTAGCTCCTGCTGCAGCTGCCTCTCCCATAGTCCCGGGTCCGAGCCTGGCCCCAGCATCCTCAGATCTGTGCGCAGGTCTAGCGGAGATACGGGTTCCACAACCAGTGGTACGTCTGACTTAATCTCGACTGTATTCCAAACCAAGAGGATGAGAATAAAGAAAAGAAAAATATTAAATGTCAAACAGTGAACACGTGCCTGTCATGGGACACAGTCGGTGGTATATCAGTGCTGCTATAGAGGGGGTGGGCGGGGTCACAATAAAGCTAGACAACTATATTAAGGATCAGCAAGTATAATGGAGAGCGAGGAAGAGAAGGAAAACAGTGAGACTCACGAAGGCACAGCTTTCTCTCATGCAAACCTGTAATTATAATCGTTTCTAAAAACAAACAGTGGATCACATCCGGCAGAGTCTACTGGGAGCAGCTGTACTAAGGACCCAGTGGACATTTGGCACGGAGCTCACAGTGGATATTTCAAGCATTTATTTGAATCCTTTCGTCTTCTGCCTGTTCAATAAACAAACGGCATTCTTCTCATCCCTCCCAAGACATCGTGTTGCTTATAAATCCTTTCAGGCAAATATTTTTTGAAGGATGGAATTGGCATTTATGGGGACATTTCTGCGATCTTTTGTTAATGAGCGCTGACGTTAATGGGAAGTATTTTGGTCATTTTGTCTAATTGACAGATACAAAGACACCGGGTTTTCTTTCATGCTCCGAACTCTGTATGTAGTGGAAAATGATATGTAGTTAAAAAAGTAGACGACAAGACTACTTCGTCTTCGTATTCCTCACAAGAACTATCATTGAAGTATGTTTTTATTTGTGTGTGAAAGTGAAAAAAAAAAACAACTATATATTCCATATTCCATACAATTTCATTTCACCGAACATTTACTGGTAAGAAAAAAAAAATTCCTGCCGGTTTCAGCTCTTTAGTTGCTGAAATGAATCTAATCGTAAAACTAAGAAATCCTGCCGTTGTAAGATGATGATTGTAATGAGGACTATAAGTAAGCTAGCTAGACTGTACATCACCAGTGAGATATCACAATTGATCTGCTTTGAATAAAATGTCCAAACAAAACTGATATTTGATAGCTGGATTGTGGTGCTGCATACAGTGATCAGGATTCTGCAAACTACTTGAAATTCCTGTAACCACAAGGAGATTTATTGAGTGCAGTCATTGCCTTAATGTTCTCCAGGCAGGAGATGGCGCGCGCGCACACACACACACACACACACACACACACACACACACACACACACACACACACACACACACACACACACTCTGTATGTCACTTGTTCACTGAAAATAAGAGAAAACTGACACCTCCCATTTGAGATTTTTGGAGTGTGTTGTGACACAATTTTATGCCATCATTTTTTTTTCATTATTCATACAGTATATTTTAAACTAGTCAATGAAACACCTTCTCCATAGTTGTCATCACAGCAAGTGTATTATTATTATTATTATTATTTTTTTTTACTGCCACCATTCCATTTAAACGTGGCGGTGCTTATTATATAAACAGCAACATAAAAGCAAGTGGCGCAATCCTGGTCTGTGACAACCCCCACACCCTAACTTGCTGCTGTCATAGCAACAACAGCTACGTAATTATGCCCCCTCCACCCCCAACAAACACCCCATCCTGCAGATACGGAGTCTCGCCACATGTCATCTCCTGCCTACTGTGGCAATGTGACATGTGGTCTATTATATCAGCTCTTATAAAAGGACGGAGTCCCCAGCAGAGAGAAACGCAGTAAAACAAAAACAAATTACGCAGAGCGAATAGTGAGTGATAACTAGTCTTAGAAGAGGTTCAAAGAGTGAAGACAGTCAGCAGGGAGTCCTGGGCTCAGGTGTTCTAAAAACAGCTTCAGTGAAATGACAGAGGAGGGCACCAGCTCGGCAGGCACATGAATGGGTACCTGTGGATCAGACTCCTCTTTGTTGACAAGGAAAATGCATCTTGGCATGTCAGTACTTGACAAAGGATTGTCCTGTAACGGGCGCTGTTCCAGGGACAGCCGTGAACCTGTGAACCATTCAAGGACTCCGTGAGTCAGACACCGTCAGAGCTACTTCTGCCTAATGGACCTAAAAATAGCCACAAAAACACCTGCTGGCAGGGAGAACTCGCCACTGTGATATTTAATTAATCTCATATTTCATTCTCTACCCTGACTGCGAATGACATTAAGGATCACCACTTTGATCGGCGCATCAAGCTGAGCCTCTATCACTATTTCTCTGACTGGGGAAAGAAGGTGTAGGCGGGAGTGTGAAGGCTTAAGGCCATATTTGATAACCGAGGCCGCACGAAATGGCCCTTGAGGAAACCACAACAGCCTCATGTGCCCATGCTATTCTGGTCCGCCCACTGTCCACAAGAATAGCGCAGTGCGGAGCGGCAAAGTGGAGGGAAAATAATGAGATCCTTAAGGTATGGTGATTATTCAAGTGTACCAAATGGAGAATTGACAATGTACATTAGTCACGACTGCCTGATCTCGCCATGAGAACAGTTCCAAACATTCTTCAGATGATGTGCTTCATTCAACAACAAATGGCATTTGGGCTAAAAGCACACACTGTACCGCACTCCTGCCTGAAACGGAAATCTTTAGCTTCTGTCAAACGAAAATAATCTGCAGGCAGACATGAATACCGAACCACCGGTAACTGGGGCCAAATATAAATGCTCCTAAGATAGACAATGTGCGAAAGACTGTCACACTTGTGAAGCTGTCAGCTTAATTCAACACTTGCAAAAATAAAAGCGCCATGTAGCATTCACGTAACCTTCGGGTCATATTAGGTATGGTGATTCTTGATGCAAATACCTTTTTTCTAGATTGGAATGATGCGCCTAATGTTTGGAGGGTTCACCGATGCTCCACGTACTAGTAAACAAGATATTTATGAATGGTAACTCCCAAATGTGTTTTTAGCACCAGGGAGAGACAAGAACCCCGTTGCCCAATGGCCAAATTCCTCCTGTAGAGGGCCAGTCGAGCGGCGATTGGGTGACTCACACTCTTTGACCGCTGCAGTCGGAGCTCCAGTGTTCCTAAAAGTGTTTACTCTCCTGCCCGTTTGCCTTGCTTGAGCCTTGCTCTTGGTTGGAGTGACAATTACAGCCTTAATTTGAGACGGTTGCTCAGAATAAAATGGTTTACATGACAATCAAGCCTTTCATCACAGCAATATTATTCACTGAACAAAAAGTACAAAGTTGTTCTTACACCCTCCGTTTGCCCTCATGTCACTCAATGAAGTTGACACTATTCCAACTGAACAAAGAAGCTTGCTGTGCAAACACCATCACGTGTAATCATGTAGTAAGCTAATGGGAAAAACACCTAACAAGCTCTGTTCAGATTTGAAAATTGCTCATAAACCAGTTGTGCGGTGAATTGCACCACTGCATTTCATTTTCAAGAAGTATTGCAATGAACAATTAATGTAAGACTTTCTAAAACTTTAGACTCATACAAGTCCCGTCACACCAGTCGCATTGCTATGAGGAGGGAGCCCTGATATTGGCTGGCTTTAATCTTTTTTTTTTTACGACTTACAAACTGGCTTCAGCAGTTAAACGTAATATCTTGATTTGTCTTGCAAGTTGCCTGTATTTAGAATGGATGTTTGCTGAGCTAAATTCCCTGTCTGACAATCAAAATAGAAACAGAGACACAGAAGATCTTCAG